AAAAAAAAGAGAGAAGAAAAACCCACGTAAAGTCTGCGGAGAGGTCTACGTCTAACTCTCGTCCGAGCAAAATTATAATTCCTCGCGGTGGTGATTCCGGTTGGGACACGGGGTAATTTGCGGGAACCGGAGATAGAAACGGAAGGGGCAACTTTTCCGATCCTACTGTTTCCACAGGCATCGTAGTTTATCATTTTTATCCAAAAAAAAAACATTCCCTCACAATGTTATCATTTTTGCATGGAGTAGAACGTCGGCACTCATTGTTTCTCAAGATTTTTCTATATAAAATGGAACATTTTTAACGTCAGTTCAAAAATAAACATGGAGGTTCACTACAAAAATGAACGACGAACAAATCTGCAGTCATTCGAATCATCATAGAATTGAAAATCCTCTACCGATCAGGAATGAACAAAAGGGTTGTAGATCGGCATAGAGTTTACGAATGAAAGAGGAAGTGGAGCAGATCGCGACAGAACTAGAAAGACATACCATGGGACGTGTGTTGGTATTTACGCCACGACTTATCCGCCGCGATGGGTTTCCACCGGTTTTATTTTTGCACGTAGCCCGGCGCAGCAGCGTCGCGACGCCAGGCTGGGTTATTCCCGGGTGAGGCACTCTCTCGAAAAGTCGGGAGAATATGGTGTCTGCCAGGGAAAGACCTCTTTCAGAAGTTTTAGCGCGTCTTAGAGAATAAGTCGTTAGGTACGACTGTACGTATGAGCCATGCCACACACACACACACATATATATATATATATATATATAGACGACGTGTTCGAAGTTATTTTATCGCTTCAAGTATCTCGTTGTCCGCGGTTTCCACAAATTATCGGAAACCGTATACCGGTTGCAAACAGTAGAACAAGTCGAATCAAAAGAAATAATAGAATTTCCTGGTGAATTACACGGGACATTAAATTTTAAAATGAAGTTCCCGAGATACTCCTGGGAGGAAATCTGAGAGATATAGAACGAAATATGAAAAATGTGTCGAGAGACAATTGAAAGCAGCGACTGAGCCAGATCGGTGTTCGACGAATCGTGGGAAATAAGCAAGAGGGAGCAGAAAATATGCGCCAATTCACTTTGGATCATTTCCTGCTCGCTCGCGCTACGTACGTACGCTCTTATATGCTCTCAGAGTTTCGATACTATTAAACCGAGCAAAGACACCTGCATTTTCCATTCGCAACGCGGCGCGGTCCATCGCCGAGCTCGATCTCATGACTAGCCATACGTGAGAGACCGATTCCCCGAGGCTCGCCGGCTCGGAATATTTCTGACACCGCATACATCAATATTTAAGTGCGGTCGGCGTGTTCGATTTGCAATAAATCGTATTAAATCCATCCGAAGGATTTCACCCGAAGTGTTAGCCCAGAGAAAAGAATTCTAAGTCTGCCTCCAGGAGATCCTAATGTCATCACATTATCCTATCGCTTCGTGAACTTTTAAAATAAACCAATCCCTTCTACTAGACAGTCTATAAAGAACTTTCAACTCAACATTTATTTTTATGATTAAAAAAAATAAAAGATTCGATGTTATCGCGTTGGTTTATATTTTAAAAATAACTGAATTGTTTTTATTAACGAGTGAAGATATAAATTATTGTTAACACTTTTTGAATGTATTCTTTTCATGGTAAAAAAAAATCGCGTTAGGTGTCGTACGTGGATAGAGCCCGGGGATCGATTCCTCTTGGAATTGTAACGGTACGCCCGGTCTCAATGGCCGTGGAGAACGACGGGCAAAAATGAATTTTATCGGCGCAGTATCAGACGTGTACGGTTCGAGTGAAACGAGCTACCGACCGGTCGTTATCACTCGGAAACAGTCAACTGTATCGAGTGATAAAAAGAAGCGTCGACGCTCTCAAAGGGGTGTGTTGAATTATCGCGACCGATCGGGAAAGTTCACCGGGCCTCCAATTTTCAGGCAACCAGCGAGAAAAGATCTAAGGGGATTAATTATCAGTCATGATTCATTGTTCGAAACACATCCATCACGCCACGCCATAAACGCGTCCTGTCATCCCTCGCGCTGATCTGTTAATCAATTTAGTTTTTTTTTTTTAATGTCGAAGTGCGTTCGTTTGTGTAAATATCGTTTTTCTTCTATTAATAAACGTACTCAGTTAATTAATATGGAAATTCAAGACTCTTTCAATATTTCTGACAATTTTATATTCTGACAGGCTTGACAAGAATTTAAAATCGAAATCTGATTATAAATTCCGTACAGTGGTTGTCAGTAATTTTTTTAATTAAGGATTTGTCATAGTATGAGAGAGAACGGTAGGTTCACTCTGATAAAAAGTGTACTAATAATTGATTCTCGCGTGTGACAAAATCGCACGAACAACAAAATGACGGCTTAATTGAATGTCCGTCACTTTATTCCTTAACGATTGGAATTAAAAGGAAATTGCATAGAACTTTTCTTGTATCCGGTAACTGGAGCTACAGCTTTTTTCTGAAACATTTTTCGTTAGAATACAGAAAAAGGTTTTGCAGTAAACAATTGTATTTATTAATTAATTATCGATGTTAGCGAAAACATTTTATACAGAAACTGTAGGCACTGACGTCCTCTACAAGAAAGATTTTATGAATTTTTCTTCTAATTTCAATATTCAACGAGTTAAGTATGATTATATGGCATTTTATTGGCGTTGACAAAATCCGACCATTCCACCGTCGAAACAGCGAACTTTTGGAAAAAAATTTCGTTTTTTCTCAATAACTCCTAAACCGTTGGTTGTACGAGAAAATTGTATAGGACCTTTCTTGTAGAGGACGATGAGATCTATAATTTCCATATAAAAATGTTTTGCTAGCGTCAATATTTAACGAGTTATTGACGAAAAACGAAAAAACAGTTTTTTGCAAATTACTCTGAAACTATTGACACTAGCGAAACATTTTTACATGGAAATTGTAGATCTCGTCGTCCTCTACAAAAAAGGTTTTATGCAATTTTCCCGTACAGCCAATGGTTTAGAAGTTATTGGCAAAAAACGAAAATTTCGCGAAATCTGAAGGGGTACCCCTTGGAAAAATCTCGGAAAAATTGAAAAATTTTTTTTTGGTCAAAATATCGAAAAATACTTTAAATAAACGTTGTAGGTACTGCTATTTCTTGCAAGAAAGCTTGTATACTATTTTTTACTATCTGGAATATTTCAGGAGTAATCAATTAATTATTTCGTCGATACCGTCACCTACTGTTTTTTCTTATACTCTATGGCTTCGTATCGAAATTTCTGAATATCAAACGAGTATCGAGCTAAATTGACAAATGAACGGATTCAGGGAACTGCAGTCGAGATATATTTAATAATCGATTTCCGGCTTCTGTACTCCGCGCTCGCAAACTGTACGAATTAATATTTGTAAATTCTGCGTAACGCGAGCTCTTTCATGTATGTAGATTTTTCATGATGAACCTAGCGGAAGCTTAAAAGGAAGATTAAAAATTGTGTGCATGGAATCGCTAAACACAGTTAACCAGGTGCTCGATTTAATGCGATCAAGCATCGAAACGGAGAAATCGTGTTGAGGTTTTGTTCGACCGCGTTCCATCGAAGGGACTTATTTTAGCGTGGGTAAACCTGAAATCACGTTCGACTCTGTAGATTCAATAATCCACCCCCGGGTTGGATCAGGACCGGCGAAAATCCCAAACATTTTCTTCGCTGGTTAAACGTTTGGTGATTGAAACGCGTCGCGGGTGAACGTGTACTCTTTTCATGGAACGCGAAAATAAAGATTGATCGAATACGTAGCTTAATTCCTGTACAGAACTTCCGATGGGAAAATGTGGGAAGAAAAAATTACAAGCGTCTGTACTCACAGGTACTTAAAAGTACTTAATTTTCGTGTTACTTCTGAGAAACAATTCTTCGACATTGTTAATTTGAATTTTCACGCGTGCCCGATTAATTTCATTTGTTCGTTTCAATATCGCGCGTCACGTTTTCTCCAAATGACAAAATCCGTCAGTCCCCTTTTTAATTAACTGCACCCTCGCACAGTGTCCCTGGCGATAAAAAAAAAGAAGAGAGGGTCGAAACTAATTAACGCCGGGCTGGCGCTCGTCTCGTCAAACTGGATCCGTGACTTTTCTACCGATTTTCAAATTTTGCCGCTTCCGGTTTAGCCGTGACACGTCCCGTGGACGTTTAATTCGCGACACGTTCAAGGGCCCGGCGTGCATCGACACGGTTTACCGCGACACGGAATCGTTGACGGAACCGCGACAACCGTTCCTGTATCCGGTTACATCAAAACCAGCCGCGAATTCGAGATTGGACAGGATCACTACCCAGAGAGAGTACATCGAATTCAGAACGAAACGAGACTTTCGAACTTTTCGTTTAATCCGGGAACTATAATAAAATCACAAATGAATGATACTATCGATTTTTATGCATAATTCTAGAGAAAAGAATTCTGAAACTGTGATTGAAATGTCCTCGCTGGAAAAAGTTTTAAACAGTGCTCGCGCGGTCGGAAATTTCGTCTGAAAAGTTTCCCGTTCCATTCGTAATTAGGGTAGTTTTAAGTGGAGATCGAGGGAATAATTTTAATTCTAACGGCAAGCTCACTGTCTTGATTACCCTGTCTGGAATTCGGAAATATTAACATGCAACGCGATGGAAACGACGCAACTATTATGCAAAGTTTTTTAATAAACCATACTCTGTAAACCGTCGTTCGTCCTAACTTATACTGCCACTGTACACGTAACGTCTTTTGAACGTGTTTAAAGGGCCATCAGTTTGGCAAGCTCGCGGGTCTTCCTCTTATCTTATCAGCCAGTGAATTTCTAAAAGAACGTTCACCTTTCACCAGTAAAAGCATATATAAATAAAATCCTGCCTCGATAAAAAAAAATTATTTATCACGTCTTTGAAAATCTACGAAATTTCCACTGAATATTCTCCAGTACGTCTTTAAATCTGTGACAATTTTATCTTTCGGTTGCAGGCATGAGACCGAAGATGAAGAACCATTACAGAGCTCACCAATTGTCGGTGTGGCTACGCCTCGTTCCGGAGCTGCACCGCGCGGGAATGGAGGACGTGGACGCCAGGCACAATCTGTTCCGCGGCCACTCGGACCCGAGCCTGTACGACGGATCGGTACGGCCGGATCCATCGAGCAGAATCAGCGAGGAATTCAAAAGGAAGGGCAACATCACCACCGAGCCGCCGACCACCACCGATTACAATGCCGCCACTACCTGCGCCAGCGAGATTCAGAGCACAAATCTGCAGAACGTTCATAACGCCAGCACGGACACCCTAGCTAGTCTTGACGCAGCTGGGTACGTAATAAGCAATCTCACGCGTAACGAAGACATTAATAAAGAATTTCTGCTGTATACTGGCTGTTTCGTACCATAACTGGATTCATTAAAGGGTTGCAGATAAATAATTAAATTTTGTATTCGACTGATATTTAAAAAAATTAATCGTTAATCCAATTAAAAAGTCTTCAATAAAAGCATTGAAGGATTTTAATCCTCTTTCCAATTGAAACTGTGAAAATCACTGTTTCAACAATTTATTATATAATAATATAAATGATTTATATTTAATGAAGGTATGCAGCGTACTCGACAGCTTTGAGCGTGACGATTGCGATTGGGTGCAGTTTACTGATTCTGAACGTGCTGATTTTCGCTGGGGTGTACTACCAGAGAGACAAGACTCGACTCGAGGTGAAGAGTCTTCAGCAGCAACAAATGTTGAATCAACAGTGCGGACCGCGGGGCTTTTCCGAGCTGAAACAACCGCCGCCGCCGCATTCTCATTTCCCCGGCAGCGGGCAGGTGATCGTCGACGTCGAAAACGAGATGCTGAGAAGGTACAGTTACACACGTTATCGATCCTCTTAAAATAATTACGATGATCTTCGAACACCCGACCTTTGAAATACTTTTCGATATCAATTTCATCCGGAACTAACTAACAAGTATTCAATCCTATAGTGCAGCGATCGATGAGGAGAATCGAGACATTTATCACGAGCGTGAATTAAAGTTGGAAGAAATTCTCAAGTGGAGCGGGTCAGTGGAACGGTGGTCCTATAAAAGTTAATTCGTTTACATCCCTTGTTTATAATAATCTACAATTTTGTAAATAATCATTTTAACATCGATCCCTTGTTGTCAAGACCACCTTTCCCGATGCCCGGCCGCATGTTTATTGTCCCACGCTGATTTGGATATGCTTTTAGGCGAGCAATAATTGTAATCCCCGTAACGATCGATCGTGGTTCCAGGAACGTTATGAAAGGCCCTCCGAATGATCCCAACTCGCTTCTCCAACAAGGCCAGGGAACTCACACGTTGCCTCATCAACACCATTATCAAAAGCAACATCAGCAACAGCATGCCACTCTTCCCCGAGCTTCCGTCATACAGGACATGAATGCACAAACCCAAGTGAGAATCAGTCATTTTACTCCAACGTTGACGAGCTTGCCCTGCCATTGTCAGATTACAGAATCTATAGTTCACCCTCGGGTCATCAGCAGATATATTGCACACGCACATATTTAAACATCTCGTGTCACAGAAAAATTTTTAAATCACGTCTCTCTATAAACTGCACAATTGATTTTCATTTGTCACAGCACAGACCTTAAACGCTGTACACGAACGTTTTTCGTTAAACGAAAGGAGAACGAGATAACGTTAAAGAGTAAACGAGCTGCTTTCGGTAATCTCCGTTGTCCATAAACACCGAGTTTATTCTCAGACATTAAGGTCGGAGATCTTTCCTGTACGCGCGTCCCGTTGATTTAAAAAAGTTCCGTCGTTTTAACGAGCCCGGGCCTTTGGAAGCTCCGTCCATAATCCTATTAAGGAACTTCTAAAACTGCTAAAGCCCGGCCATGTGAAATTTACACCGGGGAACCTTCTCGTTGCGACGCGGTCATTATTCCCGCGACAGCCAGTATCAACCTTTTACCTCGTTAACTAAATTCGCCAGTATTCAACGGGAGGGGCTCGAATTTCATTAAAACCGCGCGCAAACTTATCTCTAATATTCATTTCGGATTTTATTCGTTTCGCAGGGCAGTCGACCGAATCGAATCTCTCGGGAGCAATTACAGATCATTCATTCATTCCCCTCGCTATTAATTCCCTGTTTCTCCCCTGAAAATTTGTTTCTTAGCCCAGTTGCACACCGTTGTTCGTTTTCTTAATTAAAGATTCGTGACGAGCCAACGAAACAGGTGTTGCAATTACAGTAGCCTTTCGGATCCGGACATATGATCACATTTTTGTCATTCCAATGAATTCTTAGAAGTGTTCACCAAACGCGAGCCTCGAATCTTATCAACGTCTCTTTTTCTTATCTCTCTATTGTTTCGCACAATCTACGCTGTTTAGTTTTACTCATATTGCGGTGGTCATAATACGTACATCAGAGGACTACTGTATTTCCTGTGTAATTATCAGCTCGCTCAACGATATTCCGATAGTAGAAATTAGGTCTGAATGAACGAAGACAGACACACAAATATCGATGGTATGCATCCGGGCTTAAATAATATTCTAGTCATGAATCCGTCAATGTTTAACGATTCCCACGTATTAAATAATATAATTGACCTATTCTTTCGTTTCTAATAGTAGTTCACTATTGCAGGGTCCACCAAACGGGTCCATACATATGACAGTGCCAAGAGCACCACCACCCCCTCGAGCAAAGAGTCCACCCGAGAACCAGCCCCTGTTGCAGAGCGCAACCGTGTCAAGTCGCGTGTCCCAGGCTGCTATGAGCGAGATGCGAGTGTGATGCTTGGACCCCCCTCCGAAGCCGGTCGTGCCGGACGTCCTGACGGCATCGACGTTGCTTTAAGAGTCTGAGGAAACTGTCTCGTCCGTGCCTCTGGCACGAAAACTTTTAACAGTTTTCCGTTTCCACCTGACGGCGATGACGGGGAAAGACGGAGGGGGGGTGTATGTACTGAGCTTTCCAGCTCGATGTTGAACGAACGATCGAGGGGTAGAGAATAGGAATATATGGTATTCGTTGAGGGATGTATTAGGATAGACGAAGATCGGTGAAACTAATAAGCGCAGAGGTGTGACTCGATTATCGACCAGGAATTCGTGTGAAGACACTGCGGCAAGTGCTGGGGATGGACATTAGGAACTGAATTTTAGCGCATAGATTTCTCTATAGATTCCTTAATAAAGTGGAGACGCCGAATTCGTATATCTCGAGATCGATAATGATCGGGGATAGCGACGAAACGGAGATCTGACGATTGAATCGAGGAAAAATCAAATCGTATTTCACTATGGAGACGAGTACACTCTGCTAGCTAGTCGGTAATAATGAATTCTAGGTGTTACGAAAGAAGACGAACGCTCAAGGCAAAAGTCGATCATGGAGATCCGTGTATAATACGCTATCCACTACGATGTTAGATGTTCCTTGTACATATTTAATGAAGATGATAAAGAAAAAAATGAGAAGATAAGTGAATTTATACTATAAGTGAAAGCCAAATACATTTGCTACTTTCTAAGAGGACTCGTGTGCCGTTTGATTGTCTGTTTTATTCGTTTCCTCGTTCTACGTTACGCATTTTCTCCTTCCTACGACCGATTGTAAAACGTTGAAACGTGCGAGATCATTAGTATTGTCATCCATCGAGCTCACCACCGACGAGTCGACCAGCTTTTTCTTTTGATCGGTCAAAGGATATCTAAATCATGGTAAAATAACGTGAGTCATCGTTATGAGAAAAACGTTTTAATCGAAAGAACAGGTGCCTCCTTCACACAGGACACAACGTACCGTCCAACTTTTGCCACAGTTCATTCAACCATTATAATTTTCAGGAAGGAAAAATAAAAAGAAAATTGTACTAATTGGTCGCTCTACATATTTTTTCTGTTCAAACGAAATAAGACTGGAAAACTGATCGCGTATTCTATTCAGATAAAGATAGAAAATTGATATTGCTTTGCACCGATCAAAAGTTTCGACTGTCGACCTCGTCCCATTAATGTAAAATAAAAACCACGATTCTAACTGACTCCATATCACGAAAATTCGACGATGGCGAACGTCTGCGAAACGGTGCACCAATAATTACCGTTTTTTCTACGCTTTTTGGTAATCAGAAATCTACCGGCGATGAGTAGATTTCGTCCCGCTCGAATTACCATGTACTGACAAACAATTATTGAAAGGAATTTTTAACGGGAGACTCGATTTACGTTTACTATTCAGGGATCCAATCTTGAGAAAATAATATTATCAAATGATGATAACATTTTCATTTTGATCGTGACTCTCATGCCTAAGAAACGTAACTTTCTATCGTTACGTGGTAGCGCGGCAGAGCTACCGAGATTGGATAAATTCCTGTTACAGCGTTATGAGAAGATTACAGGTCGTGAAACGTACAAACGTGCTATTTGATCTGCTGGCACACAATTCATTGCGCAACGTTTAATTACAAGAATGATCAGTTGGTAACGCAACTGGGAACAACCGCACGTTACTGAATATCCGATGTAAATCGAGTAGGTATACACGATTATGCAGAAGAGCGGCGGCTGGTCGAAGGAAAACTCATACACCGTGAAACTGAATCTAGCCGAGAGTCACTAGAATTTATGCTAGCCTGAGGAATAACTCGGTAATCGATCCGTTTCGGATTCGAAGCGTACGTGTCGTTTTTTTTTTTTAAATGTAAAAATAAACGTATGCGTATAAGTGTAAAGATAAATTTGTTATTGTGCATAACACACTGCCATTTAACGCGTACAAGAAGAGTTTCGCCGGTCGATTCGGACGTACGAGAGGCTGTAAACTTCAATTGATTCGATTCTTTGAAGCATAATATTATATCATAGTGATCGGTTTTTAACTGTTTTAGATTCTCTCAGATTCGCTGTTACAAATAACGATTATGCTTCAGGGGATTAATTGATGGACAGAGTTTAGCACTTTCACTGTTGTCAGATAATCAAATCCTGTCTTTTATCGAGCCCTTATTTCACATTTACACATATGTACGTGATGAATAAAATCAAACGTCGCCTGAATCAAAATCATTTTCGAAATGATACTCTATTTAGGAAATGGCAGTGAACGGGTTAAAAAATGTTCCAATGGCTGGTCAGTTTAAAATGGAACCGCCATACGAAGACCGAGCTTAAAGTGGGAAGAGAAAAAGAGGGAAACGTATTAATTAAAGAATCAAAAAGTTTTTTGTACATACGATTAAGCGATTAAAATAAAACGAATCAAAAGGACGTGTTTACGATATCCTCACCGAACTGCACGCGACGATCGAGCAATCTCGTCGATCATTTTCGGCGCCGTTTGTGGGAACCGGGGCAACAAAAATTAAATTGTACCGAGCGATATGTCTTTTTTAAGGTCACTTGCGGAATTTCGTGAAGAGCAGTTACGTAAATAAATATCATTAAGTACGGACAATCCGAATATACTAAAGACTAAAAAACGAGGAGGAAGAGGAGGAGGGGTAGGGGAGGGGGGGTTGAGAGCGAGTAAAGGTAGATTTAATTAAGCAGGAACCATGATCGGAAACACTGCGGCGGGGATAAAACTCGGAACCGGTTAAACAGATGTTTAAGAAAATTTAAATAACGTATATTAAATACACATATTATGGATTGTAATGAATTCATTATGACGAATATTATTACATTTATGTGATTTTGAGCTGGTCTCGCGTTCCGCCGAAAGCGTATCGATTCTTTCGGCGGAGGGCGAGCCTACCTGTTACGTTTAACGTTTCTGTTATCAGATTGTAAATATATAACAAAATACGTGGTGATATTAATTGTAAGCGTTGAATATCCCTCTCCATCCGTTTATCAAACTTACCTTCACATTTAAACAAAAGACGATAGGCTCTGTATTTGGAAATCGTTCACATACTTCTCATTAAAGAGCTGAATATCTCCAATTTATTTTCGCTCTTCATTCATAATTTCAATGGTTTCTACATTCGCGAACCCAGTTGATAAAACAGCAAACGTGTTCTTATCGCTGATAAGCGTAGTCTACATTTCACCGAGCATTCATTGTGTTCGAGCCAGGGTCGACAGTAAATATTTTGCCAATGAATTTCTTATCGAATTAGACATACAATTATTCAATTTGTTGCGTCTTTGTGCTCGTTGTAAATAAAAAGAAGATCGTACGTGTCATCCAGATGCAAAATTGCTTCTAATTAAAGCGTAAATCATACTTGAAAGCAACTACTGGCCATAATTTGGTAGTGTACGTTGCGTGTTTATGCACGTAATTTAAGAACGGCCTCGCGCGGATATACGCCGGGACTGCCAGACAGTCAGACCGATGTTTTGTCTATACAGAGGTTCGAGCAAGTTTATTAGTCGTACGAACTCCAAGCAGGCAACATGTATCCAACGGTAGCTGCTATTATTCTTCTTTGTTGCCTCAGCTTCTCCCGAGCTCTCGATATCGAGAACTGCGGTAAGTCGTTATCTTGTTTCCAATTGTTTAACTCACAATTATTTAACGTCATTCTTCTTCACACAAAAACATACACACTGTAATTCTTAGTTTCGCACTTTCAAATGTAAAAATAAATATGTCGATATGTATTGAATTTTCAATACAATCTTTCTGTATAATTGATAATGTATTGAAAAATTTGAAATTCTGATTGAAAATATATTTTATCATTCTATTTATAAAATCGTGGGGTTCGTATGTCAGACAAAACGGAGTATTTGTCAATTTCAGAGCAGACATCGTATGATACGTTTGGACGTTGTACGTTCAGACCTTTGAATAATTAACAGTGATAAACGAATACGTACGCAGTTGTGATTCATAACTGACCTTCTCTTTGTTCTTAATGTTACCCGAGTCGAACTGATAGATGATCTCATTTCAAAAGAGTCTGATTAAAAATTATTTATAGTTGCACAAAGATCTGAATACAAATATACTAGTGTAAGTGCAGAGATTATTTCAGAGACAAAACAAACTAATAACACGAATAAACAGATTACAGAATGAAATGATACTTATTGATCAGTTAGAATGTATATAATTTAAATAATAGCACGTGAATGGAAACTTTCAATCAGGAATTCAAAGTCATAAATTACGTCAAATATCAATTATACCAAATATTTGTTTCAAGGAGAAATCCTTAAATATTTATCCCACGAATATGAATTTTTTTTACGTAGGTTCTGAGATCGGGACATACACAAACGTGGATTTGAGTTGTGACATGTCCAAATCCGTATGCGAGTTGCCAGTGGACACGAACGTATCAATCTCATTAGATTTTACGCTCGGTTAGTAGACTCATAACTGGTTTTATTTTGAAATAAGGCACGAAATATGTTTCTTTTTCTTTAGAGAAAGATGTGTCGCAAGTCTTTGCAGTTGTTCACGGTATTATAATGGATATACCTGTACCGTTCCCCTTAAATAACGCAGCTGCTTGTACAACACCAGACTCTGGGCTTACGTGCCCATTGAGCAAAGGTGGACCGTACCACTATACTAACACGCTACCAGTGAAGAAATCTTATCCAAAGGTATGAAGCTAATAATAAAGAATATTTAATACTAGTTTCTGTATTTTTTTAAAATTATGCATTATTTTTAATAATTTCGATTGCAGTTATCTGTGAAGGTAAAGTGGGAACTCAGAGATGAAGATGGTAAGGACATCGCTTGTTTGCTGATCCCAGCAAAAATCAAATAAATAAACTATTTTATCTAGAGATCTATTATTTTGATAAAGTTATGTATCGTAAAAAAATAAGAAATAAACACGTGTGTTAAAAATTAAGATTGTGTTAGTATAGGGGTTTGGAAGAGTCTCGTACAATTTTTATTCAAAGTCATACAATATAAACGAAGATTATGTATAAGAAATAAATAGCGAGTAATTTAAAAAATGTTCTGCATTAGACGTTGAATAAATAAAAAAACCTTTCATAGTACGAAAATTGTTTAAATCTAATGCACCTCGGTTTTATAGACTACCGTTTCAAATAAATTGCAATTAGTGTTTCATGATACGATTGAGAATCAATAAAAAAATATAAACGATTTCATTGAATACCTGGACGCCGGAGAATCCTGACACCGCCGGACGAAATAAACGGTTGCTTTTCTCGACTTTATTTCTTCTTTATCTAATCTATAGTAAGTCTTTTGGTAACATCAGCGTTTGATAAAAAAATATCAACTGTCCATCGCGTCGTCTGTCCTCTCTGTGTCAATCCTCCGTTTGGTAGCCAGCCTCGAGAAACTTTGTTCCACGTCTTTCAACGTTTTCTGAGCTTGGTATATCGGTTCGTACTCTCTGAGTTGGGTCATGAAACTTTCGTTCGGGTTTACGCAAAACCTCCTCTGCTGCACTAGCGCGTGCGCACGACTGCTTCGACGAAAATCGAATTTCCATTAGTATTTCAATAACAAATAATAGGTACATAGAAAAAAGAAATGGAAGCCTACGTTTCAGAGAGTCCGTACGTTTCCATGACATACGCTAAGACTAGTGCTGCGGATCTTGATATACCAGCGTTCCCATGGACCAGCACATGTCCACCAGCATTCAGACTCTCGTCAATAAATGAATTCACTTTTTGAAAATGTTGGATAATATTTTCAGTCAGCGTGTCGGCTATGTTTAAAACCAGATATCTGTAATACAATCATAAACATTTCAGCGACAATTAAAACAATCTGATATCATTAAGTTTAAGAATACTCACTTAAATCTGTCGGGAAAGTTCGGTTTTATAAAATTTGCTTCTATGTCTTGCCTGACACAGACAATGTGAGTGATACCATGATCTAATAGAGATTGCAGTTTAGACCTACTGGCTGCACTATATGGACCCAGATACAACCCAGGAACCACTTCCTAATAAAATTTAATTTTTAATTTCATTTCTATATCTTTTTATTTATTTTCAAATACCTGCATATGCCTTCTCATAGTGTAAGTCCAGAGTATAGGTCCATTCGTGGAAGTGGGTATCTTTGGATAATCTTCAGTCCCATTTTCACTGCTAGTTTTCTACAAAATGTATTTATTTAAATTGCAAAATTTGTTTGTTCTGTGTGTCTTGCGTGTCTTTGAACGTTTCATAACAAAAAGCGTCACACAAAATAATATAACTCAAGAGTATAACCTAACCTAACATATTGAAAACATCGTTTCCAGCGCACGAAATCAATGATTTAAGTCTCTTACCTTGTCTTGAAGAGAGCCATTGCTATCGAGAGCAGTCATTCCAATGGTTTTCACAGTTAAACGCGGATACACTTCGAATTTAGACGAGAAAATTGAATACGCGCACCGTATTCATTTATGTATCTCGAGGAACTCGCTTCACATCCACGTAACTAACACATCGGAAGTTATGAACTCAGGGTAGGGGACACCTTTGTTTGAATAGTTATCACAGAAAATGATCATTTCAAGATCAAACACTATTGCAATTTACTTTCAATTAGTCGTTTATTCTCACTATCAGCAGTAATTCTCACTTATTTCGTAACGAAGTGAATTATTAAAATAAGACTGTTTTCTAAATTTCAAACGGGATCCATCGCGCATAATGCGGGCGCATGTAAGTGGATTTCGAAAATTGCTAAACCATTACAAATCCTGAGTAATAAAATGCATTCAGACTCTTAATTTTTGTATGAACGTAGCAAATC